TGAAGTCTCTAGAGAGCTCCTCCCACTTGGCGATGAGGTCACCGCCCCGCTCCTCCCATTTGGCGATGAGGTCACAGCCCCGCTCCTCCACGCGCGCCACCAGCTCCTTGGAGCGCTCCTCCACACTGCGCACGCGCTGCCGCACGCGCTCCACCCCGCCCTGCAGCCGGAAGCGCTTCTCCTGGGGGGGAGGGGGTGGAGGGGTGGGGGGATGAAGGGGGTGGGGTGGGTGAGTGGGTGGGTGGGGTGGCTGGTGTGTAGGTGAGTGGGTGGGTAGGTGGATGGGTGTGTGGGTGAGTGGGTGGGTGGGTAGGTGGGTGGATGGGTGGGTGGGGTGGCTGGTGAGTGGGTGAGTGGATGGGTGGGGTGGCTGGTGTGTAGGTGAGTGGGTGGGTGGTTGGGTGAGTGGGTGGGTAGGTGTGTGAGTGGGTGGGTAGGTGGGTGGATGGGTGGGTGGGGTGGCTGGTGTGTGGGTGAGTGGGTGGGTAGGTGGATGGATGGGTGGGTGAGTGGTTTGGTGGGTAGGTGGATGGGTTGGTGGGTGAGTGGTTTGGTGGGTAGGTGGATGGGTGGGTGGGTGAGTGGTTGGGTGGGTGGGTGAGTGGGTGGGTGAGTGGGTGGGTGAGTGAGTGGGGTGGCTGGTGTGTGGGTGAGTGGGTGGGTAGGTAGGTGGGTGGGTGGATGGGTGGGTGGGTGAGTGGTTGGTTGGGAGGGGTGGTAGGTGGGTGGGAGGGGTGGTAGGTGTGTGGGTGGGTGGGTAGGTGGATGGGTGGCTGGTGTGTAGGTGAGTGGGTGGGTAGGTGGATGGGTGTGTGGGTGAGTGAATGGGTGGATGGGTGTGTGGGTGAGTGGGTGGGTGGGTAGGTGGGTGGATGGGTGGGTGGGGTGGCTGGTGTGTGGGTGAGTGGGTGGGTAGGTGGATGGGTGTGTGGGTGAGTGGGTGAGTAGGTGGATGGGTGTGTGGGTGAGTGGGTGGGTAGGTGGGTGAGTGGGTGGGTAGGTGGGTGGATGGGTGGGTGGGTGGCTGGTGTGTGGGTGAGTGGGTGGGTAGGTGGATGGATGGGTGGGTGAGTGGTTTGGTGGGTAGGTGGATGGGTTGGTGGGTGAGTGGTTTGGTGGGTAGGTGGATGGGTGGGTGAGTGGTTGGGTGGGTGGGTGAGTGGGTGGGTGAGTGGGTGGGTGAGTGGGTGGGTGAGTGAGTGGGGTGGCTGGTGTGTGGGTGAGTGGGTGGGTAGGTTGGTGGGTGGGTGGATGGGTGGGTGGGTGAGTGGTTGGGTGGGAGGGGTGGTAGGTGGGTGGGAGGGGTGGTAGGTGTGTGGGTGGGTGGGTAGGTGGATGGGTGGCTGGTGTGAAGGTGAGTGGGTGGGTAGGTGGATGGGTGTGTGGGTGAGTAGGTGGATGGGTGTGTGGGTGAGTGGGTGGGTGGGTAGGTGGGTGGATGGGTGGGTGGGGTGGCTGGTGTGTGGGTGAGTGGGTGGGTAGGTGGATGGGTGTGTGGGTGAGTGGGTGGGTAGGTGGATGGGTGTGTGTGGTGAGTGGGTGGGTAGGTGGGTGAGTGGGTGGGTAGGTGGGTGGATGGGTGGGTGGGGTGGCTGGTGTGTGGGTGAGTGGGTGGGTAGGTGGATGGATGGGTGGGTGAGTGGTTTGGTGGGTAGGTGGATGGGTGGGTGGGTGAGTGGTTGGGTGGGTGGGTGAGTGGGTGGGTGAGTGGGTGGGTGAGTGAGTGGGGTGGCTGGTGTTTGGGTGAGTGGGTGGGTAGGTAGGTGGGTGGGTGGATGGGTGGGTGGGTGAGTGGTTGGGTGGGAGGGGTGGTAGGTGGGTGGGAGGGGTGGTAGGTGTGTGGGTGGGTGGGTAGGTGGATGGGTGGGTGGGTAGGCGGATAGGTGGGTGGGTGAGTGGGTGGGTGGGTGAGTGGATGGATGAGTGGGTGGGTGGGTGGGTGAGTGGGTGGGTAGGTGGGTGAGTGGGTGGGTGGGTGAGTGGGTGTGTGGGTGGGTGAGTGGGTGTGTGGGTGTGTGGTGAGTGGGTGGGTGGGTGTGTGGGTGAGTGGGTGGGTGGGTGGGTGAGTGGGTGGGTGGGTGGGTGGGTGGGTGGGTGAGTGGGTGGGTGGGTGGGTGGGTGGGTGGGTGGGTGAGTGGGTGGGTGGGTGAGTGGGTGGGTGAGTGTGTGAGTGTGTGGGTGAGTGGGTGAGTGGGTGGGTGAGTGGGTGGGTGGGTGAGTGGGTGGGTGGGTGAGTGGGTGGGTAGGTATATGGGTAGGTGGGTAGGTGGATGGGTGAGTGGGTGGGTGGGTGAGTGAGTGGGTGGGTGAGTGAGTTGGTGGGTGAGTGAGTGGGTGGGTGGGTGGGTGAGTGAGTGGATGGGTGAGTGGGGGTGGGTGGGTGAGTGAGTGGGTGGGTGGGTGAGTGGTTGGGTGGGTGGGTGGATGGGTGGCTCAGTGGGTGGGTGGCTGAGTGGGTGGGTGGGTGGCTGAGTGGGTGGGTGGCTGAGTGGGTGGGTGGGTGGCTGAGTGGGTGAGTGAGTGAGTGAGTGAGTGGGTGGGTGGCTGAGTGAGTGGGTGGGTGAATGGCTGACCAGGAGGGTAAGTGGGTGGGTGACAGGGTGAGTGGGTGAGTGGGTGAGTGAGCAAGCGAGTGGGTGAGTGGGTGAATGGCTGACCAGGTGGTTAAGCGAGTGAGTGAGTGAGTGAGTGGGTGAGCCGGTGTGTGAGTGAGTGGGTGGGTGAGCAAGTGAGTGAGTGGGCGAGTGGGTGAGTGAGTGGGTGGGTGGGTGAGTGAGTGAGTGGGTGGGCGAGTGAGTTGGTGGGTGAGTGAGTGGGTGGATAGGTGAATGGCTGACCAGGAGGGTAAGTGGGTGGGTGAGCGGGTGAGTGGGTGAGTGAGCAATCGAGTAGGTGAGTGGGTGGGTGGGTGAGTGAGTGGGTGGGTGGGTGAGTGGTTGGGTGGGTGGGTGGATGGGTGGCTGAGTGGGTGGGTGGGTGAGTGGGTGGGTGGGTGGGTGGGTGGGTGAATAGCTGACCAGGTGGGTAAGTGGGTGGGTGAGTGAGCGAGTGAGTGAGTGGGCGAGTGGGTGTGTGAGTGAGTGGGTGGGTAGGTGGGTGAGTGGTCGGGTAGGTGAGTGGGTGGATAGGTGGGGTGGCGGGTGTGTGGGTGAGTGGGTGGGTAGGTGACTGGGTGGATAGGAGAGTGGTTGGATGGGTGAGTGAGCGAGCGAGCGAGTGGGTGGGTGAGTGGGTGAATGGCTGACCGGGTGGGTAAGTGGGTGGGTAGATGATTAGGTGGATCGGTAAGTGAGTGGGTGGGTAAGTGGGTAGGTGGGCAGATGGCTGGGTGGGTGGCTGGGTGGGTGAGTGTGTGGTGAGCGTGTGGGTGAGCGTGCGGGTGAGTGTGCGGGTGAGTGAGTGGGTGAGTGCTTGGGTGAGTGAGTGGGTGAGTGCATGGGTGAGTGTGTGGTGAGCGTGTGGGTGAGCGTGCGGGTGAGTGTGCGGGTGAGTGAGTGGGTGAGTGCATGGGTGAGTGAGTGGGTGAGTGCATGGGTGAGTGTGTGGTGAGCGTGTGGGTGAGCGTGCGGGTGAGTGTGCGGGTGAGTGAGTGGGTGAGTGCATGGGTGAGTGAGTGGGTGAGTGCATGGGTGAGTGTGTGGTGAGCGTGTGGGTGAGCGTGCGGGTGAGTGTGCGGGTGAGTGAGTGGGTGAGTGCATGGGTGAGTGAGTGGGTGAGTGTGTGGTGAGCGTGTGGGTGAGCGTGCGGGTGAGTGTGCGGGTGAGTGAGTGGGTGAGTGCATGGGTGAGTGAGTGGGTGAGTGCATGGGTGAGTGTGTGGTGAGCGTGTGGGTGAGCGTGCGGGTGAGTGTGCGGGTGAGTGAGTGGGTGAGTGCATGGGTGAGTGAGTGGGTGAGTGCATGGGTGAGTGTGTGGTGAGCGTGTGGGTGAGCGTGCGGGTGAGTGTGCGGGTGAGTGAGTGGGTGAGTGCATGGGTGAGTGAGTGGGTGAGTGCATGGGTGAGTGTGTGGTGAGCGTGTGGGTGAGCGTGCGGGTGAGTGTGCGGGTGAGTGAGTGGGTGAGTGCATGGGTGAGTGAGTGGGTGAGTGCATGGGTGAGTGTGTGGTGAGCGTGTGGGTGAGCGTGCGGGTGAGTGTGCGGGTGAGTGAGTGGGTGAGTGCATGGGTGAGTGAGTGGGTGAGTGCATGGGTGAGTGTGTGGTGAGCGTGTGGGTGAGCGTGCGGGTGAGTGTGCGGGTGAGTGAGTGGGTGAGTGCATGGGTGAGTGAGTGGGTGAGTGCATGGGTGAGTGTGTGGTGAGCGTGTGGGTGAGCGTGTGGGTGAGTGTGTAGTTGAGTGTGTGAGTGAGTGAGTGTGTAGTTGAGTGTGTGAGTGAGTAGGTGAGTGGGTGAGTGTGTGGGTGGGTGGGTGGCTGGGTGGGTGAGTGGGTGAGTGTGTGGGTGGGTGGGTAGGTGAGTGTGTGGGTGAGTGAGTGAGTGAGTGACTGAGTGGGTGAGCGTGCGGGTGAGTGGGTAGGTAAGTGTGTGGGTGAGTGTGAGTAGCCGCACGTGTATGAACCCGATGTTGAGTTCCCGTGCGCTGTATCCGCGCTGCAGGTTCCGGCGTGCGTAGACGTCGTAGTCGCGCACGATGCGCGTGATGATGTCCGACGTGGAGATGCCCTCGGTGCGCTGCGTCGGGGCAAACATCCCTGGGGGGGGGGGGCAGGGGGGGCAGGGGGGGGAGGGGGGCAGGGGGGGGGAGGGGGGCAGGGGGGGGCAGGGGGGGCAGGGGGGGCAGGGGGGGCAGAGGGGGGGAGGGGGGGGCAGGGGGGGAGCCACGGAGTTGAATCACTGAGAGTCGGTGAGTTGGGTGAGTGTATAGGTGAGTGTATAGGTGAGTGGGTGAGTGTATAGGTGAGTGTATAGGTGAGTAGGTGAGTGGGTGAGTGTATGGGTGAGTGGGTGAGTGTATAGGTGAGTGTATAGGTGAGTGGGTGAGTGTATGGGTGAGTGTATAGGTGAGTGGGTGAGTGTATAGGTGAGTGTATAGGTGAGTGGGTGAGTGTATGGGTGAGTGGGTGAGTGTATGGGTGAGTGGGTGAGTGTATAGGTGAGTGTATAGGTGAGTGGGTGAGTGTATGGGTGAGTGTATAGGTGAGTGGGTGAGTGTATAGGTGAGTGTATAGGTGAGTGGGTGAGTGTATAGGTGAGTGTATAGGTGAGTGGGTGAGTGTTTAGGTGAGTGGGTGAGTGTATAGGTGAGTGGGTGAGTGTATAGGTGAGTGTATAGGTGAGTGGGTGAGTGTATAGGTGAGTGTATAGGTGAGTGGGTGAGTGTACAGGTGAGTGTACAGGTGAGTGTATAGGTAAGTGAGTGTGTAGGTTAGTGAGTGTGTAGGTGAGTGTGTAGGTGAGTGTACAGGTGAGTGTATAGGTGAATGTGTAGGTGAGTGTGTAGGTGAGTGTACAGGTGAGTGTATGGGTGAGTGGGTGAGTGATTGATTACCAGCCTCCTTGATCTCCCTGTAGACATCGTCGGTACCCGCTGATGAGTATGGGAGCTCATCGTGGGCCACAAAGTCGATCTGCGGTACAGCAACAAGGACGCATCACTCCACACCACTCGCTGGAGACACAGAGACACGGAGACACAGAGGCACGGGGAGACACAGAGACACCACAGATACAGAGACACAGACACACGGAGACACGGAGACAGAGACTCCCACACGGAGACACAGAGACACAGACACAGAGACACGGAGACACCACAGACAGAGACACAGAGACACGGAGACACCAGACAGACAGACACAGAGACACGGGGAGACACAGAAACACGGAGACACAGAGACACGGAGACACAGAGACACCACAGAGACACAGAGACACAGAGACACAGAGACACGGAGACACGGAGACACAGAGACACCACAGAGACACAGAGACACAGAGACACAGAGACACGGAGACACAGAGACACCACAGAGACAGCTTTTCACAGAGACACAGAGACACAGAGACACCACAGACAGAGACACAGAGACACAGAGACACCACAGACAGAGACACAGAGACACAGAGACACCACAGACAGAGACACAGAGACACAGAGACACAGAGACACAGAGACACGGAGACACAGAGACACAGACACAGAGACACGGAGACACCACAGACAGACACACAGAGACACAGAGACATAGACACACCCCCCTCCCCACCACCTCCCTCCCCCCACCAGCCCCCTCCCCCCACCACCACCCCCTCCCCACCACCCCCCTCCCCCCCACCACCACCCCCCCACCACCACCCCCTCCCCACCACCACCCCCCCACCACCACCCCCTCCTCACCACCTCCCCCCCACCACCCCCTCCCCACCACCCCCCTCCCCACCACCCACCCTCCCGACCAACCCCCTCCCCACCACCCCCCCCACCCCCCCCACCACTCCCACCCCCCCCACCCCCCCACCACCCCCACCCCCTCCCCCACCCCCCCCACCCACGCGATGCTGTTGCAGGAATCCCGGCGTGAGTCTCCAGGGGGCGTCTCTGAGCACCTCGTCCACGTAGCGGCAGTGACGCACCGACTCGTAGCGCTCGCCCTCGCTCAGCACCGTGAAGCCCTTGTTGGCGTGCGTCAGCGCGTCGCTGCACACTGCGCACCAGGAGAGGTAGTCAACATCTCGCGTCGTCAGGTAGTCAACATCTCACGTCATCAGTACAGCAGGAGAGGTAGTCAACATCTCACATCATCAATACAGCAGGAGAGGTAGTCAACATCTCACGTCATCAGTACAGCAGGAGAGGTAGTCAACATCTCACATCATCAGTACAGCAGGAGAGGTAGTCAACATCTCACATCATCAATACAGCAGGAGAGGTAGTCAACATCTCACATCATCAATACAGCAGGAGAGGTAGTCAACATCTCACATCATCAGTACAGCAGGAGAGGTAGTCAACATCTCACGTCATCAGTACAGCAGGAGAGGTAGTCAACATCTCACATCATCAGTACAGCAGGAGAGGTAGTCAACATCTCACATCATCAGTACAGCAGGAGAGGTAGTCAACATCTCACGTCATCAGTACAGCAGGAGAGGTAGTCAACATCTCACATCATCAGTACAGCAGGAGAGGTAGTCAACATCTCATATCATCAGTACAGCAGGAGAGGTAGTCAACATCTCACATCATCAGTACAGCAGGAGAGGTAGTCAACATCTCACATCATCAATACAGCAGGAGAGGTAGTCAACATCTCACATCATCAGTACAGCAGGAGAGGTAGTCAACATCTCACATCATCAGTACAGCAGGAGAGGTAGTCAACATCTCACATCATCAGTAAAGCAGGAGAGGTAGTCAACATCTCACGTCATCAGTACAGCAGGAGAGGTAGTCAACATCTCACATCATCAGGTAGTCAACATCTCACATCATCAGGTAGTCAACATCTCACATCATCAGTACAGCAGGAGAGGTAGTCAACATCTCACGTCATCAGTACAGCAGGAGAGGTAGTCAACATCACACGTCATCAGTACAGCAGGAGAGGTAGTCAACATCTCACGTCATCAGTACAGCAGGAGAGGTAGTCAACATCTCACGTCATCAGTACAGCAGGAGAGGTAGTCAACATCACACGTCATCAGTACAGCAGGAGAGGTAGTCAACATCTCACGTCATCAGGTAGTCAACATCTCATGTCATCAGTACAGCAGGAGAGGTAGTCAACATCTCACGTCATCAGTCAGGTAGTCAACATCTCACGTCATCAGTACAGCAGGAGAGGTAGTCAACATCTCACATCGTCAGGTAGTCAACATCTCATGTCATCAGTACAGCAGGAGAGGTAGTCAACATCTCACATCGTCAGGTAGTCAACATCTCATGTCATCAGTACAGCAGGAGAGGTAGTCAACATCTCACATCGTCAGTACAGCAGGAGAGGTAGTCAACATCTCGCGTCGTCAGCGACCTCCTGTGTAGCAGGAGAGGTAGTCAACATCTCACGTCATCAGGTAGTCAACATCTCATATCGTCAGTATAGCAGGCGAGGTAGTCAACATCTCACATCATCAGCGATGTGACCCACGACATCCTGTGTAGCAGGAAACGTAGTCAACATCTCACATCATCAGTACAGCAGCAGAGGTAGTCAACATCTCACATCGTCAGGTAGTCAACATCTCACATCGTCAGCGATATGACCCACGATCTCCTGTGTAGCAGGCGAGGTAGTCAACATCTCACATCATCAACGATGTGTGTGACCCACGACCTCCTGTACAGCAGGCGAGGTGGTCAACATCTCGCACCATCAGGGATCGAACCCACGATCTCCTGTACAGCAGGCGAGGTGGTCAACATCTCGCACCATCAGTGATCGAACCCACGACCTCCTGTACAGCAGGCGAGGTGGTCAACATCTCACATCGTCGGGGGTGGGACCCACGACCTCCTGTATTACAGGCGAGGTAGTCAACATCTCACATCGTTTTTACCAGATCATCGGCATACATAACGTGGTTGACCAATAGGGAGCTATCCCTTGACCGCACGCGGGCATCGATCAGCCTCGCATTGTATCTGTACCAGATGGAAATTCCTCCGGTACAGCTATTGAAGACTTCACGAACTACGCAGTCGAAATAGATGTTAAATAATGTGGGAGCCAGAGGACATCCCTGTCGCACCCCAAGGTGAGCAGGGAATGGCTCCGACTCCCGGCCACGTAGTTTTAACTGGGCCTGCTCACCATCATGAAGGTCCTTAATGATCGTGAGCAGAGGGTCAGGGACTCCGAAAGCACGAAGAACAACCCAGATGGTGTCATAGGCCTTGACCAGGTCAATAAATCAGAGATGTAGGTTTTGTAGGAATTCCCTACACCTCTGCTGTAGTAAACGGAAAGATAATATGGCATCTGTGCAGGACCGCCCTTTCCTGAAACCACATTGGGGCTCCACAAGCCTCTCCTCAGCATGCCTAGTAAGGCGATGTTGAATAATCCTTGCCAGGACTTTTCCCGGCACACTGAGGAGTGAGATGCCCCTGTAGTTGTTACAGTCTGTGGAGTCCCCCTTCTTAAAGAGGGGGACCACCAGGGCATCCTTCCAAATGCTGTGGAACCCGTCCAGTGGTCCAGACAGTTGTTATGATGTCACGTTGGGCAGTCTGCGCACAAACGCCACCCTCCCTCAGCATTTCGCTTGAGAGATCATCTCTGACCGGTGCCTTTCCTAGTCTCAGACTCCGGATCACCTTCAGTACTTCCTCAGCAGATGGCACCTCAGCCAGCCACTCACAGGGGGTGACTTCCTCCTCCAATATTTGAGGCACCGCAGCCTCAGCAGGGTTATACTCACTTTGTGCCATGATGTTTTCCTGGCTGAGGGATTTCCCCTCCCCCAGAACCTCACAGATATGCTCAGCAAATCTGCAACCCTGTTCCTGGGAGTCGGAGATTGGATCACCGTTTCATCCCCTAATGATGGTAATAGGTGTGGCGCTGCAGGTTACTTTTTGATGGAGTGAAATAGTGATTTGTGAACGTGGGCCATTGAGGCAGAATCCATCTTCTCAGAAACCCGCGACCACCACCCATCCTTGCAGCGCCATACGGCTCTCCGAACCTCCGAGCGAAGGCTGCGGTAAGCCTCCTCATTCTCCGACGTGCGATGCTGTAGCCGATGAGAATGGGCCTGTTGCTTTTTCTCAGCCAGCTTGAACACCTCCTCTATGGGGAGGTCTGGACCGTGTACCCAAAGCAGCCATTGCCGCTGCATGAGTCACAGTCTTTAACCTCGCCCATTTACCCTCGACATTTGGAGGAGTCGGGGACGATGCCAACCCCAGCCGCAAGCGATGATGAAATTCTCGCTTGCAACTTTCATCAGCTAGCTGAGACCAGGCCACCAACCCCAACCCCACCGCCACCTCCACCACCAACACCACCAACACCACCAACACCACCCCCCCACCCCCCACCCCCCCCACCACCCCCACCCCCCCCACCCCCCACCCCCCCACCCCCCCCACCCACCGCACCGCCCACGATGAGGAAGGTGCGAGGGAAGAGGCCCTTGGCCTGCATCAAGGCCCTGGCGTGGCCCGGGTGGAAGACGTCGAAGATCCCGTCGGCGTAGACTCGCACAGCCCTCCCCTCTACACACACACAGTCACACACATACACATACACACACAGTCACACACATACACATACACACACAGTGACACACACACAGTCACACAGACAATCACACACAAACACAATCACACACACAGGCATCACACACACACATACACACACACACAGACACAACAACAACCGCCATTCGCCACTAAGTGGCGGTGACGTCACCACGATGCTTGTGCCAGGCCAAGTGCACCTTGAGGCCACGTGAAGTGTCGAACGCCCGCTGGCAGGAGGTCACGGGGCAGACCCAGGTGCCACGGGTCGACTGACCGAGATGACCGAGATGACTGGCTGATGCACCACCTGTGCCCCCTACTGTACCAACTTGCTGTGCTTTAGCCACCCGGCGCTCCGCTCGTTGTTGTGAGCGTCGCTCCTCCGCCCTCCGTTGTTGTTGGAGGGCGACTGCCTCCAACTGCCCAGTAGCGTCCTTCACGAGCCTCCTCCACTGAGGCCGATCTTGACACCGCTGGTACCAGTCATCGGCAAGTCCACTCAGCTCCACGTCCTCCTGTACCACATCACTCCATCTCTTCTCCAGCCCGTGCCGCGCCCGTCTAGCCCCCTCGATCCGGCCGAACAAAAGCTGTTTAGGCATGCGGTGGCTGGGCATGAGGGCTACATGACCCAGCCAACGCAGCCTTGCCTGCCGGAGGAGCTCACCGATGGGACTTTGCCCAGATCTTTCAAGGATTTGTGAGCTCCTCACACAATCCAGCCTGGTTAAACGCAGGATGGATCGTAGGCAGGCCAGCCTGAATGTTTCCAACCAGCGAAGATGCTCCACTAGGGAGGTCCACGTTTCGCAAGCGTAGAGAAGGGATGGAATGACTGTGGCCGAGAAGATCTGAAGCTTCGTGCGGAGCGACAGACCAGGTAGCTTCCACACAGCGTTACGCAACCGATGAAAAGATATTGCCGCTCGACTGGTTCGGAGTGAGACCTCTGCTTTTAAACTGGAGCCGGTCATAAGCACACTGCCCAGGTATGGGAAACTCTCCACTCTCTCCACTACTGCCCCATCACCGATTGGGAGTCGTGGGGGTGGAGTGTCCGATGGTACAAAATACCCAGGCAGGTGCTTAGTTTTGGTGGGGCTGATGGTAAGGCCCCACCTCTTAGTGGCACGCTCCAGTCTCAGCAGCAGCGTCTCCAACTCCTCCTCTGAATGAGCAGCTATTACCAAATCATCGGCATACATAACGTGGTTGACCAATAGGGAGCCATCCCTTGATCGCACCCGGGCATCGATCAGCCTCCCATTATATCTGTACCAAATGGAAATTCCCCCGGTACAGCTATTGAAGGCTTCACGTACTACGCAGTCAAAATAAATGTTAAATAATGTGGGAGCCAGTGGACATCCCTGCCGCACTGCAAGGTGTACAGGGAAAGGATCTGACTCCCGGCCACGTAGTTTTACCCGGGCCCGCTCACCATCATGAAGGTCCTTAATGATCATGAGCAGAGCATCAGGGACTCCGAAAGCACGAAGAACAACCCAGAGCCCAGGCCTACTGATGGTGTCATAGGCCTTGACCAGGTCAATAAAGCAGAGATGTAGGTCTTGTTGGAATTCCCTACATCTCTGCTGTAGCAGATGGACAGAAAATATGGCATCTGTGCAGGACCACCCTGGCCTGAAACCGCATTGGGGCTCCGCAAGCCCCTCCTCAGCGTGCCTAGCAAGGCGATGTTGAATAATCCTTGCCAGGACCTTTCCCGGCACACTGAGGAGTGAGATGCCCCTGTAGTTGTTACAGTCTGTGCGGTCCCCCTTCTTAAAGAGGGGGACCACCAGGGCATCCTTCAAATCCTGCGGAACCTGTCCAGTGGTCCAGACTGTTGTTATGATGTCATGTAGGGCAGTCTGTGCACAAACGCCACCCTCCCTAAGCATTTCACTTGGGAGATCATCTCTGCCCGGTGCCTTTCCTAGTCTCAGACTCCGGATCGCCTTCAGTACTTCCTCAACAGATGGCACCTCATCCAGCCACTCACAGGGGGTGACCTCCTCCAATATTTGAGGCACTGCAGCCTCAGCAGGCTTATCCCCACTTTGTGCCATGATGTTTTCCTGGCTGAGGGATTTCCCCTCCCCCAGGACCTCACAGAAATGCTCAGCAAATCTGCAAACCTGTTCCTGGGGTTCGGAGATTGCATCACAGTTTTTTCCTCTAATGATGGTAATAGGTGTGGCACTGCAGGTTACTTTTTTGATGGAATTAAATAGTGTTTTCTGATCGCGGGCCACTGAGGCAGACTCCATCTCCTCAGCAACCCGCGACCACCACCCATCCTTGCAGCGCCTCACGGCTCTCCAAACCTCCGAACGAAGGCTGCGATAAACCTCCTCATTCTCTGATATGGGATGCTGTAGCTGATGAGAGTGGGCCTGTCGCTTTTTCTAAACTAACCTGAACACCCCCTCTGTCAGCCAGGGTTTCTGGGCAGGTCTGGACCGCGTACCCAAAGCAGCCATAGCCGCTGCATGAGTCACAGTCCTAAACCTCGCCCATTTACCCTCGACATCAGGAGGAGTGGGGGACGATGCCAACCCCAGCTGCAAGCGATGCTGAAATTCTCGCTTGCAACTTTCATCAGCTAACTGAGACCAGGCCCCTTTAGGTTGGAATTGGGTCCTGGGTGTACACCCACCACCGGAGTGGAAGAATGGCAGGCGCATCTTACAGATGACTAGTCGATGGTCAGAGGGCAAATCTGCTCCACGGTAGGTCCTGGTGTCAAGGACATGGGCTCGCATCCGCTGGTCCGTCACTATGTAGTCCAGCAGATGTTCTTGCTTGGACCCGGCATGCGTCCATGATGTTCTGTGGATGCGCCGATTCCGGAAGAGCGTGTTGGTAATTACAAGCCCATGGGCTGCACAACAATCTAGCAGCCTCCTACCGTTGTTATTGAGCTGATCTGGCCCATGCCTTCCAATCACTCCAGACCAGGTGCTACCATCATGACCAACTTGGTCAACCAACAAGATGACTCTGTCCCGAGTGGCCACTTTAGCCAGCACCTGTGACAGGAGGTCATAGAAGGCATCTGACTCATCGGCTTTGCCTGCATCCCTCCACGGATGTTTGTCTTCGGTGGGGGCATAAGTAACCATGACTACCACTCCTCGCCTCCGTTTGATGGGAAGGCGAGCCCAAAGTAGCCTGGGGCTTACAGCTTCCCACACCTCACCGCCACGCTCCCACGCCCCCTTCATTCTTTTGTTCAAAAGAAGAGCCACTCCCTGTTGTTTGGCAGTCTCCTGCCCCGAGTAGAGGACTGTCCTCCCCTCGTGGTGGCAGGACCCAGAACCGGTCCACCGGACCTCCTGAATGCCACAGAGATCCAGGCGATACCGGTCCAGCTCCCGACAGAGGAATGGCAGCCTCTCCTCCGCAGTGAGCATTTGAACATTCCACGTGGCCATCCGTAACGGCTTTTCGTTGTTTCTGGAGGAGCCCCGAGGGTGAAGATTCAATCTCCTGGCTCCGCCAATTGGGGATTGGCCAGGAGACGTCATAGACGCCTGTCCCCCCGGGGCCTCCGGCACAAGCTTATTTGTTACAGGTTTATGTTTAATTCGTAGTTTCGTGGTAATTAATTGAAGGTGGAGGGGTTACCAGCCCCTCGCACCCGTCCAGAACCCCGTTTAGCCACTGTGGTGGTCACACACACTGACTTACACACACATACCGACTCACACACACACCGACTCACACACACACGGACTGACCCGCCGTGCCGCTGCGAGCCTGTGCGAGTGAGAGTCACACACTCACTCACTGACTCACACACACCGACTCACACACACACACCGACTCACACACACACGTCACACACACGTCACACACTCACACACACCAACTCACACTCACACCGACTCACACAGACTCACACCGACTCACACACACACTCACACACCGACACACACACACACACACATTGACTCACACACACACATTGACTCACACACAGACACACACACACCGACTCACACACACACACAGACACACACGAACTGACCCAGCGTGCCGCTGCGAGCCTGTGCGAGTGAGACTCACACACACACACCGACTCACACACACCGACTCACACACACCGACTCACACACACACACTCACACACACACCGACTCACACACACGGACTCACACACGGACTCACCCGCCGTGCCGCTGCGAGCCTGTGCGAGTGAGAGTCTCACATACACACACCGTGCCGCTGCGAGCCTGTGCGAGTGAGACTCACACACACACACCGACTCACACACACCGACTCACACACACACACTCACACACACACACACACACCGACTCACACACACGGACTCACACACGGACTCACCCGCCGTGCCGCTGCGAGCCTGTGCGAGTGAGAGTCACACACACACACCGACTCACACACACCGACTCACACACACGGACTCACACGCGGACTCACCCGCCGTGCCGCTGCGAGCCTGTGCGAGTGAGAGTCACACACACACACCGACTCACACACACCGACTCACACACACCGACTCACACATGGACTCACACTCACCCGCCGTGCCGCTGCGAGCCTGTGCGAGTGAGAGTCACACACACACACCGACTCACACACACCGACTCACACACACCGACTCACACATGGACTCACACTCACCCGCCGTGCCGCTGCGAGCCTGTGCGAGTGAGAGTCACACACACACACCGACTCACACACACCGACTCACACACACCGACTCACACATGGACTCACACTCACCCGCCGTGCCGCTGCGAGCCTGTGCGAGTGAGAGTCACACACACACACCGACTCACACACACCGACTCACACATGGACTCACACTCACCCGCCGTGCCGCTGCGAGCCTGTGCGAGTGAGACTCACACACACACACCGACTCACACACACCGACTCACACATGGACTCACACTCACCCGCCGTGCCGCTGCGAGCCTGTGCGAGTGAGAGTCGCCCGTGAGGGGCGCTGCAGTCCACCCCGTCGCCTCGCGTGAAGGGAGCCGGCTCCAGCAGAGACTGGGGGGAGACACGGGGGGGGGGGCACGGGGGAGGGGAGACACGGGGGGGAGAGACACGGGGGGGGGAGACACGGGGGGGGGGGGGAGAGACACGGGGGGGGGGGGGAGAGACACTTGGGGGGGAGGGAGAGACACGGGGGGGGGGGGGGAGACACACGGGGGGGGGGGGAGAGACACGAGGGGGGGGGGGGAACACATCTCTGCTTTATTTACCTGGTCAAGGCCTATGATTCCATCAGTAGGCCTGGGCTCTGGGTTGTTCTTCGTGCTTTCGGAATCCCTGACCCTCTGCTCACGATCATTAAGGACCTTCATGATGGTGAGCGGGCCCGGGTAAAACTACGTGGCCGGGAGTCATTCCCTGTTCACCTTGGGGTGTGACAGGGATGTCCTCTGGCTCCCACATTATTTAAAATCTATTTCGACCGCGTAGTTCGTGAAGCCTTCAATAGCTGTACCGGGGGAATTTCCATCTGGTACAGATACAATGGGTGGCTGATCGATGCCGGGTGCGGTCAAGGGATGGCTCCCTATTGGTCAACCATGTTACGTATACCGATGATCTGGTAATTGCCGCTCACTCAGAGGAGGAGTTGGAGGCGCTGCTGCTGAGACTGGAGCGTGCCACTAAGAGGTGTGGCCTTACCATCAGCCCCACCAAAACTAAGCACCTGCCTGGGTATTTTGTACCATCGGGCAACCCACCCACACAACTCCCAATCGGTGATGGGGCAGTTGTGGAGAGAATGGAGAGTGTCCTATACCTGGGCAGTGTGCTCATGACTGGCTCCGGTTTGACATTAGAGGTCTCACTCAGAATCAGTCGAGCGGCATTATATTGTCATCGGTTGCGTAACGCTGTGTGGAAGCTACCTGGTCTGTTGCTCCGCACGAAGCTTTAGGTCTTCTCGGCCACGGTCATTCCATCCCTTCTCTACGCTTGCGAAACGTGGACCCCCCTAATGGAACATCTTCGCAGATTGGAAAAATTTAGGCTGGCCAGCCTACAATCAATCCTGGGTTTAACCAGGCTGGATTGTGTGAGGATCTCACAAGAAAGATCTGGACAAAGTCCCATCGGTGAGCTCCTCCGGCAGGCAAGGCTGCGGTGGCTGGGTCATGTAGCCCGCATGCCCAGCCACCGCATGCCTAAACAGCTTTTGTTCTGCCGGATCGAGGGGGCTAAACGGGCGCGGCACGGGCGAGAGAAGAGATGGAGTGATGTGGTACAGGAGGATGGGGAGCTGAGTGGACTTGCCGATGACTGGTACCAGCGGTGTCAAGATCGGCCTCTGTGGAGGAGGCTCGTGAAGGACGCTACTGGGCAGTTGGAGGCAGTCGCCCTCCAACAACAACAGAGGGCAGAGGAGCGATGCTCACAACAACGAGCAGAGAGCCGGGTGGCTAAAACACAGCAAGTTGTCACAGTAGGGGGCACAGGTGGTGCATCAGCCAGTCATCTCGGTCATCTCAGTCAGTCGACCCGTGGCACCTGCTGGGTCTGCCCCGTGACCTCCTGCCGGCGGGCGTTCGACACTTCACGTGGCCTCAAGGTGCACATGGCCTGGCACAAGCGTCGTGGTGATGTCACCGCCACTTAGTGGCGAATGGCGGTTGTTGTTATTGTGTCTGACCAGCTAGTTGTGCCTCAGTCTTTGTTCCATCTGGGCCGGCCCAATAGCTGCTTCCGTAGGCACACACCAGCCTCAACATCCCTGGTGAGTTCTAGATTTGAAGCTTTCGTGACTGCAAGGATTCATATTCTTAGGTTTTTTTCGGTAAAGTCACGTAGGTAAAAATTAAAATTAATAAAAGTGATACAGCAATCGTGCTGTGACGGTTCCACCTGAAGACGGCTGCTTGCGTCGTGGCCGAAACGTCGTGATAATTATTTTATTAGGTTTTATTTTTTTATTACTTCCCTTTTACGTGACTTTACCGAAAGAACCAAGATGATTCGCAGGGTTGTCCAGCGGAGACTCGGACTCGTGCAAGACGCCTGGCTGTGTGCAAAAGTCGAGAAGATTCAGTCCTACGCTGACGGTAACAACACCAAGTGACTCTATGAGACCTCCTCTACCAGTGGCAAAATATAGTAGTAGGTTTTTACCCTTTCAACTGGTACAAAACGGACACCTTTATACAAGGCATCATGTCTGCAATAACCGCAACACGAGCAGTCAAAATGCAAACAAAAATAAACAACTCTGATCATGATAATGATGATATGCACTGTCCTTGAAGTTGATTGGTCCACACCCGAGACAGCTTTCCTTAGAGCCTAGTCTCCATTGGTGTTGGACCAGATGACGCCAAAAGGCGTACAACTCAAAGACAGCGCACTATCAGAGTATTGAGAGCTCGGGGTAAGCATTTACACTATGAGACCTTCTTTACCAGTGTCAAAATATAGTGATAGGTTTTTACCCTTTCAACTGGTACAAAACTGACACCTTTATACAAGGCATCATGTTTGCAATAACCACAACACAAGCAGTCAAATTGCAAACAAAAAAAAACAACTCTGATAATGATATGCACTGTCCTTGAAGTTGATTGGTCCACACCCGAGACAGCTTTCCTTAGAGCCTAGTCTCCATCAACTGGTACTAAGTGCCTCTATGATGCACTCAAGCAGGTCTATGGTCCACAACACTCAGGACCCATGTGAGACTAGGCTCTAAGGAAAGCTGTCTCGGGTTTGGACCAATCAAATTCAAGGACAGTGCACAGTATTGTTTGTATTACGACTGCAGGTATTGTGGTCTATGCAAACATGACTCCTTGTAAAAAAGTGTCAGTTTTGTTGCCAGATAGAAGGGTAAAAAAACAATGATAACACTCAGGAACTTCACCTCTCCTGAATGCAGATGGAGAAACACTCCTCGCAGAGAAGGACAAAATACTTGCAGGGTGGGCTGAACACTTCAACGCAGTTTTCAACCAGCCATCGTGCGTAGATGAGGAGGCAATTGCGAGACTGCCTCAAGTTGAAATAAAGCAGTCCCTTGCTGTTCTACCATCCATTGAGGAAACCAGCAAAGCCACAAGCCTCCTCTCGCCAGGCAAAGCTCCAGGCTCCGATGCCATTCCAGCGGAAATCTACAAGGCTGGAGGGGGCCTCGCTTAGTCGAGAAACTGACCGATCTCTTCCAGTCTCTGTGGAAATTAGAAGCCGTTCCCCAGGAGTTCAAGGATGCCTCTATAATCCATCTCAATGAGAAGAAAGGCAATCGGCAGGACTGAGACAACCATAGAGGCATCTCCATACTATCAATCGCTGGCAAAATCTTGGCAAGAATCCTTCTGAACCGCCGAATTGTCCACCTAGACCAGGGTCTGCCACCTGAGAGTCGGTGTGGTTTCAGAAAAGACCACGGAACCACTGACATGCTATTTACTGCCCGGCAGTTACAGGAGAAATGGCAAGAACAAAATGCTGATCTATATTATGGCTTTCGTTGATCTAACAAAAGCATTCGACACAGTCAGCCGGGAGGGCTTATGGAAGATCATGGCCAAGTTTGGGTGTCCAGACAAGTTCATTGGCATTGTGCGCAAACTCCATGATGGCACGATGGCCAGCGTCAGAGACCAGCAAGAACTCCCTGATCCGTTCCCAATCACAAACGGGGTGAAGCAAGGCTGCGTTCTAGCACCAACGCTCCTCAGCACGGTGTCTTCTGCCATGCAGCAAGACTCATTGCAGAACCACAATACTGGGATTAGCTTCATCTACCGTCTTGACGGTGGGCTATTCAATCTGCGGAGGATGCAAGCCAAAACTCGAGTGGAGTAAGTCACTGTTCGAGAACTTTTGTTTGCTGATGACTTTGCTCTGCCTGCTGGCTCAGATAAACATCTACAGGACAGTGAGGACCACTTCTCATCAGCTTGCAACAACTTGGGCCTAACAATCAGCACGGAGAAGCCTGCAGTCCTGTACCAACCTGCTCCTGGGAAACCCCACGCTGAGCCCACCGCCATCTTTGTGAATGGGCAAAAGCTTTCAGCCGTTGACAAGTTGACTTACCTCGGTGGTACCTCCGTCTCGCGCCGTGCACACTGATGATGAAGTTAACATCAGGATTGTCAAGGCCAGGGCAGCCTTTGGACGTCTACGTGACTGGGTATGGGACAGGACTGGCATCAATCAGGAGACAAAACTGAAGGTCTACCAGGCTGCTGTCTTACCAACTCTTCTGTATGGGTGCGAAGCCTGGACAGTGTCTACTAGCGCCATGCCAAGAAACTGAACCATCTCCACCAAAGCTGTCAGTGCAAACTGCTGAGGATCAAGTGGCAAGACACAATCCCTGACACGGAAGTCCTCGGCAAGGCCAATATCCCCAGCATCCACACCTCGCTTGCGAAGGAACAGCTTAGAGATGGACTGCGCGAGACTGCCAAAACAAGTCTTCTTTGGCGAGCTGAAGAATGGCAAGCGAGCGCAAGGCGGCCCCAAAAAGTGCTACAAGGACACCCTGAAAGCTTCCTTGAAGAGCTTTGGATTCGACTTGAGAATCTGGAACCCCGAGCTCAGGACCGACCTGCCTGGAGATGAAAAGTCCAGGACGGTGCAGCCCTCTGTGAGAGCAGGATAAGCTCCTGTGCCATCTTGAAGAGGCATCGGTGCAGATCTACCAAGGGAGGACTTGGGGCTGCATCTCAGAGCTCCACATCCTCCCCAGAGGTCGCAACCGGGTACCCGATACCCGTACCCTACCCGATACCCGGCTACCCGTACCCGGCCGGGTACGGGTACGGGTACCCGTTTGCGACCCTGGTGCGGCCGGGTACGGGTACGGATAGGCAGTGAGTCACTGGTGAGTCACCGTTTGTCACGTATTTCCCAACGTCTTGTCTCTTCTCACAATTCAAGTTCCTAGAATCAACCCACCCGCGCCTGCAACATGGCTTCATCCCAGAGGTCGCAATGAGGTACCCGATACCCGTACCCTACCCGATATCCGGCCGGGTACGGGTAGGGTGCGGGTACGGGTACGGCCGGGTACGGGTAGGGTGCGGGTACGGGTACCCGTTTGCGACCCTGGTACGGCCGGGTACGGGTAAGGAATTAAAACCCGTTTGCGACCTCTGATCCTCCCTGACCTGTCCGGTGAGCCACAGGGAATTCCGGCCTCGGAGTGGCCTGTTCAGCCATCTGCGCGCTCGTCAAAACCCAACACAATGACAAACGTGCCATGGTCATCATGAACTATGATGGACGAACAAGAGAGAGAGTGTGTAGGTGTGTGTGTGTGCATGCGTGTGTACGTGTGTGTGTGTAGGTGTGCGTGTACGTGTGTGTGTGTACGTGTGTGTGCGTGTGTGTGCGTGTGTGTGCACGTGTGTGTGTGTACACGTGTGTGTGTGTGTACGTGTGTGTGTGTGTACGTGTGTGTGTGTGTGTACGTGTGTGTGTGCACGTGTATGTGTGTGTGTACGTGTGTGTGTGCACGTGTATGTGTGTACACGTGTGTGTGTGTACGTGTGTGTGTGTGTACGTGTGTGTGTGTACGTCTGTGTGTGTATGCGTGCGTGTATGCGTGCGTGTGTACGTGTGTGTGTGTACGTGTGTGTGTGTACGTGTGTGTGCGTGTGTGTGTACGTGTGTGCCCGTGTGTGTGCGTGTGTGTGCACGTGTATGTGTGTACACGTGTGTGTGTGTACGTGTGTGTGTGTGTACGTGTGTGTGTACGTGTGTGTGTGTACGTGTGTGTGTATGCGTGCGTGTATGCGTGCGTGTGTACGTGTGTGTGTGTGTACGTGTGTGTGTGTACGTGTGTGTGTGTACGTGTGTGTGTGCGTGTGTGTGTACGTGTGTGTGCCCGTGTGTGTGCGTGTGTGTGCACGTGTATGTGTGTACACGTGTGTGTGTGTACGTGTGTGTGTGTGTACGTGTGTGTGTACGTGTGTGTGTGTACGTGTGTGTGTATGCGTGCGTGTATGCGTGCGTGTGTACGTGTGTGTGTGTACGTGTGTGTGTGTACGTGTGTGTGTGTACGTGTGTGTGTGCGTGTGTGTGTACGTGTGTGTGCCCGTGTGTGTGCGTGTGTGTGCACGTGTATGTGTGTACACGTGTGTGTGTGTACGTGTGTGTGTGTGTACGTGTGTGTGTGTACGTGTGTGTGTGTACGTGTGTGTGTATGCGTGCGTGTATGCGTGCGTGTGTACGTGTGTGTGTGTACGTGTGTGTGTGTACGTGTGTGTGTGCGTGTGTGTGTACGTGTGTGTGCCCGTGTGTGTGTGTACGTGTGTGTGTACGTGTGTGTGTGTGTACACGTGTGTGTGTGTGTACACGTGTGTGTGTGTGTACGTGTGTGTGTATGCGTGCGTGTATGCGTGCGTGTGTACGTGCGTGTGTACGTGTGTACGTGTGTGTGTGTACGTGTGTGTGTATGCGTGCGTGTATGCGTGCGTGTGTACGTGTGTGTGTACGTGTGTGTGTACGTGTGTGTGTGCGTGTGTGTACGTGTGTGTGCCCGTGTGTGTGTGCACGTGTGTGTGTGTACGTGTGTGTGTGCGTGTGTGTGTATGTGTGTGTGCCCGCGTGTGTGTGTACGTGTGTGTGTACGTGTGTGTGTGTGTACACGTGTGTGTGTGTGTACACGTGTGTGTGTGTGTACGTGTGTGTGTACGTGTGTGTGTGTACGTGTGTGAGCCCGTGTGTGTGTGCACGTGTGTGTGTACACGTGTGTGTGTGTGCACGTGTACAAGGTGTGTGTGTGTACATGCTGTGTGTGTGTACATGGTGTGTGTGTACATGCTGTGTGTGTGTGTGTGCACGTGTGTGTGTGTGCACGTGTGTGTGTAGGTGTGTGTGTAGGTGCCTGTGTGTGTGTAGGTGCCTGTGTGTGTGCACGTGTGTGTGTGTGTACACGTGTGTGTGTGTGTACACGTGTGTGCACGTGTGTGTGTGTGCACGTGTGTGTGTGCACGTGTGTGTGTGTACATGCTGTGTGTGTACATGCTGTGTGTGTGTGCACGTGTGTGTGTAGGTGTGTGTGTAGGTGCCTGTGTGTGTGCACGTGTGTACATGGTGTGTGTGTACGTGTGTGTGTGCACATGTGTGTGTGGTACACACCGAGCGAGGCTGTGGACACGTGTGTTGTGGTTGTCGTTGTGGTTGTTGTTGTGGTGGTTGCTGTAGTTGCTGTAGTTGTTGTGGTGGTTGTTGCTGTGGTGGTTGTGGTGGTGGTTGTGGTGGTGGTGCCACCGCCGGGCTCGGCACCCCCTCCATCTCCACGGGTGCGGTTCTTCCCCCCCGCAACCCCTTGCCACTGCAGAGGGTTTCCCTCCAGATGCAGATCCCAACTGCATTGCCACTACAGAGGGTTTCCCTCCAGATGCAGATCCCAACTGCATTGCCACTCCAGAGGGTTTCCCTCCAGATGCAGATCCCAACTGCATTGCCACTGCAGAGGGTTTCCCTCCAGATGCAGATCCCAACTGCATTGCCACTCCAGAGGGTTTCCCTCCAGATGCAGATCCCAACTGCATTGCCATACCAGAGGGTTTCCCTCCAGATGCAGATCCCAACTGCATTGCCACTCCAGAGGGTTTCCCTCCAGATGCAGATCCCAACTGCATTGCCACTCCAGAGGGTTTCCCTCCAGATGCAGATCCCAACTGCATTGCCACTCCAGAGGGTTTCCCTCCAGATGCAGATCCCAACTGCATTGCCATTCCAGAGGGTTTCCCTCCAGATGCAGATGCCAACTGCATTGCCACTACAGAGGGTTTCCCTCCAGATGCAGATCCCAACTGCATTGCCATACCAGAGGGTTTCCCTCCAGATGCAGATCCCAACTGCATTGCCACTACAGAGGGTTTCCCTCCAGATGCAGATGCCAACTGCATTGCCACTACAGAGGGTTTCCCTCCAGATGCAGATGCCAACTGCATTGCCACTACAGAGGGTTTCCCTCCAGATGCAGATGCCAACTGCATTGCCATACCAGAGGGTTTCCCTCCAGATGCAGATCACAACTGCATTGCCACTACAGAGGGTTTCCCTCCAGATGCAGATGCCAACTGCATTGCCACTACAGAGGGTTTCCCTCCAGATGCAGATGCCAACTGCATTGCCACTACAGAGGGTTTCCCTCCAGATGCAGATGCCAACTGCATTGCCACTACAGAGGGTTTCCCTCCAGATGCAGATCCCAACTGCATTGCCACTACAGAGGGTTTCCCTCCAGATGCAGATCCCAACTGCATTGCCACTACAGAGGGTTTCCCTCCAGATGCAGATCCCAACTGCATTGTCACTACAGAGGGTTTCCCTCCAGATGCAGATCCCAACTGCATTGCCACTACAGAGGGTTTCCCTCCAGATGCAGATGCCAACTGCATTGCCACTGCAGAGGGTTTCCCTCCAGATGCAGATCCCAACTGCATTGCCACTACAGAGGGTTTCCCTCCAGATGCAGATCCCAACTGCATTGCCACTGCAGAGGGTTTCCCTCCAGATGCAGATGCCAACTGCATTGCCAAACCAGAGGGTTTCCCTCCAGATGCAGATCCCAACTGCATTGCCATACCAGAGGGTTTCCCTCCAGATGCAGATGCCAACTGCATTGCCAAACCAGAGGGTTTCCCTCCAGATGCAGATCCCAACTGCATTGCCATACCAGAGGGTTTCCCTCCAGATGCAGATCCCAACTGCATTGTCACTACAGAGGGTTTCCCTCCAGATGCAGATCCCAACTGCATTGCCACTGCAGAGGGTTTCCCTCCAGATGCAGATGCCAACTGCATTGCCAAACCAGAGGGTTTCCCTCCAGATGCAGATCCCAACTGCATTGCCATACCAGAGGGTTTCCCTCCAGATGCAGATAGCCAACTGCATTGCCAAACCAGAGGGTTTCCCTCCAGATGCAGATCCCAACTGCATTGCCATACCAGAGGGTTTCCCTCCAGATGCAGATCCCAACTGCATTGTCACTACAGAGGGTTTCCCTCCAGATGCAGATCCCAACTGCATTGCCACTGCAGAGGGTTTCCCTCCAGATGCAGATGCCAACTGCATTGCCACACCAGAGGGTTTCCCTCCAGATGCAGATGCCAACTGCATTGCCATACCAGAGGGTTTCCCTCCAGATGCAGATGCCAACTGCATTGCCATACCAGAGGGTTTCCCTCCAGATGCAGATGCCAACTGCATTGCCATACCAGAGGGTTTCCCTCCAGATGCAGATGCCAACTGCATTGCCATACCAGAGGGTTTCCCTCCAGATGCAGATGCCAACTGCATTGCCATACCAGAGGGTTTCCCTCCAGATGCAGATGCCAACTGCATTGCCACTACAGAGGGTTTCCCTCCAGATGCAGATGCCAACTGCATTGCCACTACAGAGGGTTTCCCTCCAGATGCAGATGCCAACTGCATTGTCACTACAGAGGGTTTCCCTCCAGATGCAGATGCCAACTGCACTGCCATACCAGAGGGTTTCTCTCCAGATGCAGATGCCAACTGCATTGCCATACCAGAGGGATTCCCTCCAGATCCCAATCGCATTGCCATAGCAGAGGGATTCCCTCCATAAACACAATCAGAGAATTGTAATCGGCATATTTATTCCATAAATATGCTAAATTCCTCTTGATATGCAAATTATTTTGTCAAGGCGCTCTTCCCCCTCCAACCCAGTTTAAATAGTCGCTCCAAGCCTAGGGGACGTGTCATTCAGACTCTGTCTTCTCGACAGACCTGTTCTTCACCTGAGGACGGCTGCTTGCGTTGTGGCCGAAACGTCGTGAGAATTGTATTTTATTATGTTCTATTTTTATTTTTTTATTATTTCCCTTCTACGTGACTTTACCGAAAGAACCAAGAAGATGAATCCCTGCAGTCACGAAAGAAGCTTTAAATCGAAATAATTCACTTCTTTAGCCCACCGGTGTGTGTTGAAGAGAGAATCAACAGCATTTTAACATGTGACTAGTCCGACGTTTCGCTGATAATTACAATCAGCCTCATCGGGGCAAGAATGGTGAAGCTCTCCTGTTGACCGTGTCGGGTGGTAGAGGGTTACGACACATTCATAAATAACGCGATCTCACCCAAAAACGTTTATTATGAATAATATTGGTCGCGAAAGCCTGCCACGTGTTACATTGATCAATCGTCGTTGTCGTCGTCATCTGTGCTCTCGCTCCCCCTGAGGCTGCTGATGGCTGGGAGATGTTGACTACCTCGCCTGGTGCACAGGAGGTCGTGGGTTCGATCCCGATCCTCACGATGCCTGCTGCTGCTGTAGATGTGGAGTCTGAGTGTCTCTCTCTCTCTCTCATCATCATCATCACGGTGGCTATGAGATGTTGACTACCTCGCCTGGTGCACAGGAGGTCGTGGGTTCTACCCCGATCCTCACGATGCCTGCTGCAGCTGCTGTAGATGTGGAGTCTGAGTGTCTCTCTCTCATCATCATCACGGTGGCTATGAGATGTTGACTACCTCGCCTGGTGCACAGGAGGTCGTGGGTTCGAGCTCGATCATCACGATGCCTGCTGCTGCTGTAGATGTGGAGTCTGAGTGTCTCTCTCTCATCATCATCACGGTGGCTATGAGATGTTGACCACCTCGCCTGGTGCGCAGGAGGTCGTGGGTTCGATCCCGTTCCTCACGATGCCTGCTGCTGCTGCTGTAGATGTTGAGTCTGGGTGTCTCTCTCATCATCATCATCACGGTGGCTATGAGATGTTGACTACCTCGCCTGGTGTACAGGAGGTCGTGGGTTCGATCTCGATCCTCACGATGCCTGCTGCTGCTGTAGATGTGGAGTCTGAGTGTCTCTCTCTCATCATCATCATCAATGTGACTATGAGATGTTGACTGCCTCGCCTGGTACACAGGAGGTCGTGGGTTCGATCCCGATCATCACGATGCCTGCTGCTGCTGCTGTAGATGTGGAGTCTGAGTGTCTCTCTCTCATCATCATCACGGTGGCTATGAGATGTTGACCGCCTCGCCTGGTGCGCAGGAGGTCGTGGGTTCGATCCCGACCCTGACGCCTGCTGCTGTTGTAGATGTGGAGTTTGAGTCTCTCTCTCTCATCATCATCATCACGGTGGCTATGAGATGTTGACTACCTCGCCTGGTGCACAGGAGGTCGTGGGTTCGATCCCGATCTTCACGATGCCTGCTGCTGCTGCTGCTGTAGATGTGGAGTCTGAGTGTCTCTCTCATCATCATCATAGTGGATATGAGATGTTGACTACCTCGCCTGGAGTGCAAGAGGTCGTGAGGATCGGGATCGAACCCACGACCTCCTGTGCACCAGGCGAGGTAGTAAACATCTCATAGCCACCGTGATGATGATGATGAGAGAGACACTCAGACTCCACATCTACAGCAGCTGCAGCAGGCATTGTGAGGATCGAGATTGGACCCACGACCTCCTGTGCACCAGGCGAGGTAGTCAACATCTCATAGCCACCGTGATGATGATGATGAGAGAGACACTCAGACTCCACATCTACAGCAGCTGCAGCAGGCATTGTGAGGATCGGGATTGGACCCACGACCTCCTGTGCACCAGGCGAAGTAGTCAACATCTCATAGCCACCGTGATGATGATGATGATGAGAGAGACACTCAGACTCCACATCTACAGCAGCTGCAGCAGGCATTGTGAGGATCGGGATTGGACCCACGACCTCCTGTACACCAGGCGAGGTAGTCAACATCTCATAGCCACCATTGGCTCGCTCTATGCCATGTGTAATGGACGGGACCGCCGCTTATGAAGTTCCAGTTCACGACGTGAGCTCGAGTTGGACACTGATTTTAATCGGAGTGAGTGGGTATTATACAGAAATCACGGTGATTACGTGGATTATACAATTCGATAAACATGGTTGATATGTGAGTGAGTGTGTGAGTGAGTGAGTGTGTGAGTGAGTGTGTTAGTGAGCGAGTGGGTGGGTGAGTGAGTGGGTGAGTGTGTGAGTGTGTAAGTGAGTGTGTGAGTGAGTGAGTGAGTGTGTTAGTGAGTGAGTGAGTGGGTGAGTGAGTGTGTAAGTGAGTGTGTGAGTGAGTGAGTGGGTGAGTATGTGAGCGAGTGTGTGAGTGAGTGAGTGAGCGAGTGAGTGAGAGTGTGAGTGAGTGAGTGTATGAGTGAGTCAGTGTGTGAGTGAGTGAGTATGTGAGTGAGTATGTGAGTATGTAAGTGAGTAAGTGTGTGAGTGAGTATGTGAGTGTGTGAGTGAGTGAGTGTGTGAGTGAGTCAGTGAGTGAGCGAGTGAGTGAGTATGTGA